GAACGTCAGGGACTGTTTTACTAATATGAAAATTATTCACAGCTTTATCTTCAGGCTTGTGATATCAAGCTGCACCTGTATTTATCTTCAGGGAATACTGAGACCTGAATAAATTAACTTAACAATCCTGATGTCCTGCATGTCGCTTGTGTTAAAAGCTTTGGATGAACAGTGATCATTCTTCTTATCCCTCTTCTTGCAGTGAATGCCTTCTAATGAAGAACTTAATTTTTATTTTCTTATTTTTCAAAGAAATGTTACAGCAGGATCCAGAATGCAGGGTGGAATTGTTACACCACCACGTTTAGACCTTTAGGCACATTTTTTATATATAACGTTTTCAAAGGGTGAAAGTTTTGAAACACACACTAACGTGAAGGATTTTAAATCATTACGTGAGCTAGAGAAAAAAGTACTCAAAACATTTAAAGGAAACATAGGAGAACTTGAATTCAAGGTCTGGCCCTACAAACCCAACACTAGATTTCTTTGCTTGTTTTCCTTAAATTTTCGTAAAACCATAACAAACAATCCCTTGTTTAGTTTTAAGAAGTACTTGATTTGTGCTAAACCTGAAGAACAGCAGATGGAATGCAGAGAGATGTCACTACAGCTCGATCAGTCTGGCTGACTCAAATGCCATTGAGCAGATGCCCTGCGAATAAGGCAATGACACAACATAGCCACATTGTTACAGCTATTACCAGCAGAGGGCTGTCTAATCATAGCACAAATGAATCTTACTGGTTGTCCTGACACACAATGTACTGTACCTATACAAAATATTCCAGGGTTATCCAGTGTTGGTCCTGGTGGACTCGTATCTAAGTTTAATAGCGTGTCACAGCTCTTCAACTACCGCTGTTTTAGAGAAATATGGAAAGCCTGCAGGCACACAAGCCTTCCAGGAGCAGGGCTGGACAACCCTGGTATACATACTAACTATATTGTTGTTCTTACTGTAGGTCTGTTGCTTTTGGCATATCCAAGTAAGGAAAATAATCATAAATGAACCCATCACTTAATATGTATTAAGACAATAAAGTTATTTGGACATTACAACTTAAATTCATTATTGCATTAAGCTGAAAACAAAAAAGTTTTAAGTTACCTATTATTTTGACACTTTTCTGACATGTGTATCCCATTTAAGAAAATCCCCCTCAAGAAAAAAATACATTTTCAAAACAAAATCAAACTGAAGTGTGAAATCATAACAAACCATGCTATTATTAATTAAAAAAAACATTAAAATTAAGTGCAGGTCAATAGATCCATGGTGAGTTATGTCTGAGCAGTTCCAGAGTGTAACAGTGCTGATTTCTACACTCTACACATTTAGTGAAATCCCCTTGGTTTAAAGCAAAATGAATCCTGTCATAGGCTATTTGCAAGAAGTGTTTCCTGAGTTTTCTTAAGGTTTATTCAAAAGAGCAGCAGTTCCTAAACATCAGAGAAGTTGCTCTGAAGATCATAATTATATCAGTCTCAGTATTTAAATGAGGATAATTTCTAGTTTATCTAGAACTATATCTGTATATACTGTATATAGTAGGAGTCTACATATTGAGTTAATAGCTGACATGTTTTAAGTATACTCTGTTCATTTAAAAAAAAAATGCTGTCAATGCTGGAAACCCCATTTTGTAGTTACAAAACAAGGTTTTAACAGGTTCTGCTCCATTTTAGAGAGACTCTGCTGACACTCATTTTTTATTTTATTTATTTAGAAATTTTTAAACAGGGCCAGACAAGCACAAAAGTGTTGGGTTATCAAGACAACTCATCAGCATATTGTAAATACTGCCGCCTTAAATTGTGGGAGATACTTATGATTAAAATTTTGATCAAATGTAATACTACCCCAAATGTATGGCTCATCGCTTCACAATAAAAAAAAAATATTCAGCAATGTATCATATTCATATATAAGGTATTAATAAAGTATTTGCATATCTTCAAAATATACCTCATTAATCACTGCAGAGTCAGGTCTAGGGTAGAAAAATTCAGAATAGCCAATTTCTTACATCCAATTTTTGCATCCAATTTTAAATTCATGAGTCAGGTTTATGGATAAACTGCCATACTACATGGGAAGAATAAGATAATTGCAAACAAGCTCCTTGGGCATAATCATCTGTCAGACCCATTCATCATTTGTCATTCACAGAACTCACAGAACCACACAGTGCCTTACAGCAGTTTCCAGCTCTGCCCCTGGAGGAACACTATCTGCTGGCTGACACTCCAGCTGAGGCCATCTCCAGAGCTAACTGGTGACTGGAGCAGTCTGCTTGCTTGTTTAGACTTGTATTGAACTTGACTCTTCCGGCAGTCCTGACTAAAGTTTCAGCTTTTCCAACAACTTCAGCACGCAGACTCACCTCAACTTACTTCTGACTAAACAGTTATTAATTAACAACTGAGAGCAGCTGAGCACAAGTTTCATGTTTCACCAACATCCAACTCCTGCCAGGATAAAGGGATTATACACTCATATTAAACAGTGAAATTGTTTGTTTTTTTTAGTATTAGTAGTAATGTTATCTTGTGATCTCTGAGTGTGGGGGAGAAGAGCTGCAGTGTGCTGCAGCATTTTATATTATTGTAAGTTTGCCTTGGGGTGGAAATGTTTGAGAAACACATGGGGATACACAACTTTACACAGCTTCTCTTCATCTTGCTTGTTTAAACAGCTGTTACCAACTGATGACAGGTGAGACTGACATGGTATCAGACACGCCTACAATGAGTGCTTTTCCCTGCTACAGAGGTCCAGTTGGTTATGTTTCAGAGGGCAAACAGATTTACAAATACACCCCAAATAGGAAACTGAAATCAATGCTTAAGACTGAGATTAAGAATTTTAGATGGAGCAAAAAAACAAAAGACAGAGTGTTCTGCTAGGGCTGAAAACCACTGCCCATAGCTAAATAGAGGTGTAGTGAGTTTGTCAGTATTATCACTACAAGGCTACAGGTACCTGGTGGATCCCAGGAGCTGATCCATCGCTAGAAGGAAAGGGTACCTGACAAATTACAGCCCTTAAATTAAAGAACTGGCTGGCATCATGGCCCCAGTTTGAATTGACTGAATCTAGACCATAAGAGTCATCATCATGCTCAGAGTGAACCTTTACTTTAAAGTGGTGCTGGAGCAGAAATGAATAATATTATTTAAAGCAAAAATATATATTTTGTTTTCTGTGAACCAGACAGATTTAAAGAATTAAGCACCTGATAGGAGAAAGATGATATTGGGAACTCTTGTCCAGTGATGCTGCTCGGGGATTCTGTGGCTGAACACTGATGGCATAATAATATGTACAGTCAAGATTCCTTACCATGCTAAAGAGAGCACCTTTATAGCACAGAGATATTGTGCAAACAATACAGCAACAACAAAATAATGAAACATAAATATCAGCTGGATTTGCATATATTAATGTCTGCCATGAGTATGGAAGAGTTGGTGATTACCAGACATTCTTCTGCACAGGGAGTTCTACTGTGACACAGCAGAGTTTGTGAACTTGCAGCAACTAATTTTAAAAAGAAGAGCTGAACATTTTAGTGAAAGGTTTCACTGTATGTATACCCTTAATATAACCACCACATGTCATACTGTAGGTCAGTGAGGGTTTCAAAATGTGACTTTGTTCTCAAGCTCACATTCCCTGGAAATGTCTTTTTGACCTACTGTGTAACTATGAACAACTTTCATGTGAGAGGTGGGTGTTGAAGATGTGTTGAAGGGCATTAAAGAGATGCACACACTCCAGAGGCCTTGTCATTCTGCTGTTTAACTGTTAGTACAAGTCTCCTGGGGTTACTGTGGTATTTGGTTCAACACACTAATCTGCTCTTCAATACAGGCACTTATAGTACTTCAATAGCTGTCACAATTATAGTAAGGGAAAAGCAACAAAGAAAAATAATAGTACACACTCAGTACAATATGGCAACACGGTGTGGCCTTATTCTTGGAACTAAGGTTTGTAAATGTATGCTTTCATGCAAAACAGCAGACTGACTTCCTGAAATGTTTGCATCTCCATCAAAGTGAGCAGCTGTGTTTGGACAGTGACCCTTGTTAGCAGACAGATGGTTTATAAGTGAAGCTGTATGGGACTTTTGAATTAGATGGATAGATCATTAGAGATGTGCCATTGTGCTTGACTGGAAACTTGGCTATTGCAGTTATTTGCTCAGTGGGTTGGGTCAGACTTGTGAGCATAAAATATTGAGATCAGATGAGGCAAAATGTCCAAGAACAAACAGAAGAGAGACTCTTCTTTTCACACTCTGACATTTTGATCCAGTGTGCCTTTTAAAATAGTGAACAAAAACAATCTACACCTCACTCAGCACTCCCTCAGTTCTTCTTTGATCTCACGGCTCAAAATTATTAATGAAAAATCAAGTATAGTACCATGAACTAAGAAATATTTTCTAAACGCCGAACTCCATAAGCAAACAGTATTTTTACCCAAACATGTTATCGCAAATGTTAGTTTTTGGCTTTCATTTATTGACCTAAGATTTCTCCAATGATGTCAGCTGTTGACAATTTAAATAGATCTGTAAATTCTTTTAGGCAGTATTTACCTTGAGTACTGTAGCTCTGCACTCCAGCTAGCACACACTTACCAAATTCTACAAGGTTTTCTCACAAAATTCATGAGTATTTCCATACCCCGCTGACCTGCTGTAAGAGAACTGTGTCATTTCAAATGAGTGAAACATATTACTCCATTAACTGTAATTTGTGGTTAGATATTTCTACATATTACAACTAATTCTGCAGAACAAAAGCACAAATACTGCAGATACTAATCCATCTTGAGGTAGATTTGTATGGGAGAGAGACTCCTCTGTCAGTCTTCAATTGTCTTTTGTACTGTATGTGAAAATGATTGAAAACTTTATTTAAAGAGTTGAATACAGCAGTTAAGACACTGTGGATGACCATTCAAAAAGAAGAGATCTTTTACTTACTTTTGACCTGGGGGCTGTGCTGTATATTGAGGTCTTTTTGGAACCGATGACGTTGGGCCACTTTTCCTCATTGTTCTCTAGGCTGTTGTGCGGATTCTCTTCACCCTCAATTTGATCAGCTCTGCAAATTAAAAAGAAAGTCCAGGTTAAACTTCATGCCTGTCAAGCAATGAACTGTAGTACTCTGATTAGCAAGTCACAGTAAAATTAGGACAGTTTAACTGTTTACATTTTTGGACTAGGGACCTATAAACATTTTCAGTAAAGATTTGCTTTCACTCCTTTTTAAACAAATTACTTCAAACACAGAATTCTACTGGCCATGGTTAAACAGGAATAGAAGGCACACCTTAAACTCAAAATGTAACAATTATTGCTCCTTTGTACAAATACACTTTGCACATGTACTGTAGAAATATAGACTATGAGAGAGAGAGCATTGTGTCACACTAAAATAAACATCTGAACAGGATCCTGGTAGAAATATTAAGATCTGTTAATAATCCAAAACATTGTTTACACAAGGGTGCACACTAAGACTGCCCATTACTGGATTAACAACTGTAGTCTGCAACCCTGATTCCTGAAAGATTCAATCTCCTATTACAGGTGTTACAGACCACATACTATATTTATTATTTATACTAACAATTAGATTCATTAAGTAATTAAGAGTAATCCAATTATGAGTAATTAAAACACAATATCCTTCAGTTCTCCAGGAACATGGTTGGTACAAAATTCTCCCATATTTCTCCCATATTTCTAAAACTATTTTCACAACTTTTAAGTATACAATAAAGAGACAGTTTATTTATGGAACAGAATCGTAGGTGCTTTTCACTGAAATGATTTTGACATTATGGCCTGTTTTCTTTTCTTCTGTAAGGAGAAAAAAACAGAAAATGTTTCCTTATACAGGGGGTGAGAATGAAAGCCTGGAGATGTTACCATTTAAACTGACTCATGCTGACCATTCAGAGGAGCCTCCTGTCACGATTATAGTCCCCCCTCCTTAAGGGTGCTCCAGAGCCTACCCTGGCAAGCAACGGGCGAGAGGTGGGGTACATCTTGAATGGGACGCTTGTCCTTCGTAGGTTACCCACAGACGCAAACGCAGTCACAGCAGGGCCAGTTTGCCCAGTATGTCTTTAGACTGTGGGAGGAAACTGGAGCTCCTAGAGGAAACTTGTGCGAACACCCGGAGAACGTACATTCTCCACACAGATGGCACCCCAGGCCTGGCATTGAACCCAGCGCTGCCCTGAGGGCTATTTTGTGGGTTATGATCCATGTGAATTTTTAAGTGCCTATACATGGTCCCTTTATTGACATACTGTATTTTCTTCAATAGCGTTTTTTTTTCCAATTGTTTTCTACTCTACTATAAATTTAGAACTAAGTAAAAAATTGGCTTGCTACCAAGTACCCTCCCTAGGGCTCGTCATTTCAATAACCAACAGATTTCTTAATTGCACTTTACTGTATCAAACACTCCCAAAGAAGCAAATAAAGTCTGCACTTTTGGCAGCCATATCATTTTAAAACTTCATAAGAAGCCTTATGAAGGGAGTGATGACTGTTGAAGGGTACTGTGCATCATTAATTGGTAGCTATTATTATTATTAACTGTTTCTTAAATAAGATGCAGAAAGACAGACAGAAACAATTTGTGACCAACAAGACAGGTAAAGATGGGTATTTCTAAAATCAAGCATCTAGGTTTAGAAAAAAATACAATTCAGGAGTAATACAATAATAAAATTGAGTCCAGTAATTTTACATATTAAAGCTCTCAGCTGGAATTACACATCGCAGGGTATTCCATGAATGAGAAAGACTGCAGTAAGAACTGGTATATAGCCCACTGAGTTACAGGATATTTCACAGGTTTGTGGGCTTAGAAGATTCCCAATACATGTGCGTGGATCCTTTCTTTGGTCTTTAAAACCTGTGTGGCTCAGGAAATCCAGTCCTTTACCAGCAGTCTGTTGTGTTATTATATGAGAACAAAGGAAAGCCTTCAAAGCTATTTTCCCAATGCATACAGACAATGTTCTCTATTATGGCCCATAGACTTGATTTAGTTCTCTTTTGCCTCTTGAGAACATCAGTTCCTGAAAATATCTGACTGAAAGCTGGACAACTCAGTATTTCAAACAGGGGACAGTATTGATTTTTGTATTTTATAAGTTTTCAGCCACAATTTTAAAGTTGCTTTTGAAAACATAAGGTTTACTTTAATAAGATTACCTCAGCATGAGTAACAGGAATCTTTTCCAGCAATATTCAGGCACTTCCAGATGAGACAGTAAAATGGATGATACTGTACTTCTACCATAAATACAAAAGTTTGGACAAATGGACCTTTATGTGCATTTTGGATTTCAGACCACCCATGATTTGTGTAAATTGCTCCAGACAATTGTCACATTGACATCTAAGCAGGTTACAAAAAGGTTTATAGGAAACTCTGCTGTGCTTAAAGTTTACTTAGAAATCATCACCTGCAACACACAACCTTACTAATGGCAGGTAAAAGAGGCCCACTAAGTAATGGAGAGATTAAGGTGAAACAATACCCAGACCTTTTTGAGACATTCCAAAGATTCAGCCCAGGGCCACACCTTAGTCCAACAATATATACTGTATATGGATTTGCATAGCAAATCTACTGTGGTTAGGACTGATGGTATTAATAAAGCCAATTTGTGTGAATGTTGGTTTTAATGGAGGTTTGAAAGGGACCTTTTTGCCTTATTGGTAACATGAGTAATTGTACATCAATGTAAACGTTTTGCAGTAAAGGAGTAACAAAACAAATTACAGTTTAAATGCAGTTTATAATACAAGAAATTGTCAAACTATAGCCACCCAGTTTTGTTTCTGTTTATTTATCAATTGAAAATCAATTAAAAAAACAAGCAATGAAAGTGATGCAACGGTTACAACATCAGTCTGAATGTCAGCTACAAGAATTACTAACATTTGGAAAATGATATGATATGGAAATCATGTGGAATTTCCATCATTCTTTGGCACTGAGTGTGAATTGTGGAAATATGACAAAGTTTATGAAACCACAGGTGTGGTGGCAGTGCTTGAGGTGTAGACATTCAGAGATTTATTTCAAATACTGTATGAACATCACCTGTCATTTTTACTAAATGTCTTGTCTCAATGTACTTCGTATATCACGAGAGGGTGTATTTTACAAGCATAATTTGCAAATGCCAAGAAGCATGTGGCCTTATCCTCTGTAGCAACCCAGTTTTCATATTCAAATGATCTGTAATATCTTTGCAGAGTCTGGTGCTGGCTCACACATCTGTCTTCTTGTTTTCAGGCTGTAGTTGAAAACATTACTACATTTCTCATCCTCAGAAACACAGTTGGATGGGAAGGAGAAATATTTAGGAAATGTTTAATATCTTTTATTTTTACTTTTATCTTGGGCAACTTACCAAAGGTACAGCTAAAAATGTGTACAAAATATACACTATATACACCTGAAAAAGAAAATGACTTGAAAATGTCCACAGTCCAAAAAAACATACCGGTAGGTTAATTGACTTCTGGGATAAATTGGCCCTGGTGCGAGTGTGTGTGTTTGAGTATGAGTTTGTCCTGTGATGGATTAACACCCCTTCAGGGTGTATCCTGCCTTATACTCATTGCTTGACTGGATAGGTTCCAGCTGCCCCGCAACCCTGAACTGGAAGAAGCAGAAAATGGATGGATGTACTGTACAGTATTCATAAGCAGTGGCAGTAAAACAAATACACTGTATTCATACACAGTATATACTTTAAAGCAGAGGTTTCCAGCATCTTGGAGAATTGTAGGTCTACTAAAAGTTGTTGCTTAATGTAGCTTAACACGATTCTTAGCCACTTGCTTAAACATAAAGATTCTTTCAGGAATAGGGCTCTCCAGGACCCCTCACTCAACCACTTGAGATTGATTTGTGGGGATCCTATGAAAAATTATTCGATGAGATCATTGGATCAATAAGCTTCTATCAGCCAACGATGTGCAATGGGTGAAATGGCCTTCCCTTCATTTATGACACTTCTACAAATAGAGCTTCTAACACTGCTTGTATACAGCAGCATGCATACATGGTAGTATAGTGCTATTCTATTTGTTTTCAGGTGTGGGATATTCATTCATTGGTTGTCCCTCATGGTAAAGGATGATTGTCTTCCATGAATATCAAAGTGACAATATGGTATTCTTGTACTCTCAGGCAGGTTGAGCAAGTACTGTCCTGGGATATCTGGTTGCATACTGCATAATCTGGTCATGTTCTTCAACGCTCTCTCTTACTCAGCCTGGGGGTTATACTTGAGTCTACATACAGTAATACTAAAGAAAACTTTCATTCCAAACATTATAGTCTGATTACTCAGTAATGCAGTTCAGCACACCTCTTCCTCCAAGGCAATATTTTTAACTGATGCTGTTTTCCTCATGCTTTGAAACAGCATCATTTGCCATTCTACTTTACAGAGTAGCACACCCATGAAGTCTGAAGAGAAACAAGCATTTCCTGGTAAATATTTTTGACAATTAAAACAGAATTTCGCAAAGGAATAAGCATAATAATAGGCTCTTTACAGTAAGTATCTGTTCATAATTACTTCATGAGGAATAAGAGAAGGAAAAAGAACAGCATGTGAATACAGTACTGCATCATGTGCATTTTTGGTAAACAACACGGGAAATTGTGTACTGTATAACCTGAAATTGTATAATATTAATCTTAAATTGTATAGCCACATTCACCCCGAATGCGATTCCCATGTGAATGTCTCAGAGTGTGGCCTCACAGCGACACAACTCTTTAGTTACAGTACTGTATAAAAGTAATATATACAGTATACTGTATAAAACCGCTTTATGCAGTACAGGGTCACAGGGGAGCCAAAACCTATTCCAGCAAACAATTGGTGCAAGGCACGAGACACCCTTCATGGGACACCAGTCCATCACAAGGCAGACAAACAGACACAAGCAATTAACTGCAGCCAATTATCCTACCAATATGTTTTTATACGGTGAGATGAAACCAGAGCACCTGGAGAAAACCCACACGAATATGGGGAGAACTTACAAATAGCACCCCAGATGCTGAGATGGCAATGCTAATCAATGTGCCACCCTCACACAGTATATACAGTATAAACAATTCATTATGACTTTATTTTAGATTAAATAATTTACATGTAATTTAGCTCTGATACAGTGCTTTAATAGACTGGATTTCTTTGGCTACATGTAGAAGCTCTCCACTGGGCTCATCAAAGCTCTCTTGTACGTCAAACCACACTAATGCAGAAAGGCTTGTCAGGTAACTTGTGTTTACTCTGCTGCTGTTTGTAGATTTAGACAGTGCCAGAATTTTAGCAAGGCGAGGTCACTTTTAGTTTTCGCAGGAATGATAAGAAGCCTGCTTCAGTCTTTTTAGCTATGCCTTCAATGTCTCAGCCCCACTAAGGCCACAGCTAGCTTGACAATGTGTTGATTTTGAGAGAAAGACAAGTTTCTGAATTCTCTTGATAAGCCACAGAGTTCACAACACTGTGAAACACTCTGCATGAAAGGGCTTTGGTACTCTTTGTGCAAACCATAGCATAATACAGTAAAATCACAGCAAAGCCAAGGTGCAGTAAATACTATATAGTGTATTCAAGGCATACGCAATTCCAAAGAAAATGTCAACATAAACACTTAAATTATTTTCATAAGCAGCCTTGTCTAACTCAGTCTTTTCTATTATGAATTTATACAGTAGCTTACATTTTTTACTATCTCCATGCAATACCCTGGACCTGTCTACAATTAACATCATCTGCCAGGTGTTTGCCCAGTTTTTAATTTGAAATTAATTTAATTTCTAAATCTTTTTGAATTCTATTTGATGCTTCCATGTTTGTTTGCTAGCACCCCTAATTTGTAAACTAGATGAGATTACTAACTATTCTGGAATGATCCTTGTTTATTGATACACATTTAGAAGAATGGTGGTCCTAGTACAAACATCTGTGGTACTCCACTAATTACATGTTTGTTAGTGATGCTGCGTAGAAGAGGTTTCAAAAAAAGAGATCTCCTGATATGGCTAAGAACATGAGACTACGTACTGTATGGGCTGGACTACATCCCTTGAATCCAGACCGCTTTTCTGCCTTGTATTGGTGTATCTGTGAGTATCTACTGTATAATGAGATGGGCAGAAAAAAGCAATTCTCTATCCAAAGAGCAGTGTCAAACACTCTTAGAGGAATGAGCTCATATTTCACTCCCCATGTTTTGCAGTCTTCAGCCTCTTGATTTGAAATTGTCATCATTATGTTCCTAATGACAAGCTGTTTTTACTCTTAATTTGGGCCACATCTGGATGGCCCTGCCAGAATGATTAAGTTCTCGTGTTTTCAATCTGATAGTGAAAACATTTATTAACTGATAACCTTTGGAAGGGGTAGAGGTTAGACGCTAACGGTTTTTGTTCATTAGTTAAACCCCTTATTGCATGATTGCATGCCCCTGGTGTAAAAGCTTCATTTTTATTGAAACCTTTGTTTTCTCATTTGCTTCCAATTCAACAGAATGAAGTCGCATTACCAATTTCCTATATTTGGAATCCAGCATAACATCCCTGTGCAACTACTGTCTTTTTAGTTTCATGTACACATTTTAGACAATGATATGACATTTTTCATGTAAAAACTACTGTATGCCTTGTAGTAAACCTATGAGAGCATTGGGCCGTCATCTGTTTTTGAATTTCATGGCTGTCCTTGCTCAAACAAACTGAATCCACACGTTCCATTTAACCAATCTAAGAACTGGTATTGTGGGGAGTGCAGATAGTGAGAATGGTAGAAAACTGTCATCCTATGCCTATGCTCTCTAGGATCAGAGAAAATTTCCTCCATACATTTGTGATTAGGAGACCATCTCTGTATGAACTCAATAAACATGTACTAGGTCATATTTTGCCCTTCCACTTCAATAAAATCTATGTCATCCTAAAATCTATTTATCAAATATTCAACTCCTGCAGATTCATAAGAAATATGAAGTATTAAGACAATCCAGTGTCCAAAGCTTATCACAATCTAACAAAAATCCCTCTCAGAATAATATCAGTTTTCAGATCCAGATAAACACAGTCCACTTGTGATAGTTTTCTATCATCTCAATAACATTTTAGTGCCAGGCATTTGGTTGATATAATGCAGTGATGGACATTTGCAGAGTGATAATGTCTGATGTTTGATTCAGAGAGCCAAGGCTATTTCAACTAAACTGTCACAGATTCAAGAGGATGCTGGCTCACACCGCAGTTGCTAATTGCGTTCTTGAAATTGAACTAAATTTAACAGTTCTGTATATTGTCAATAAATTGGTCATATGACATTTTAGGGGACTTCCTAGGTAGTGCTACTTGAAAATGTAATGACTGCTAGTGCTACTAACATAGCAAGTAATGTACCAATTGATGAAAAACATTACCAATTACAGTAAGCAGGTCCATTAATTGATATTTTGTGAATACAAATTAACACTGAGATACTAAGAAGGCAAGAATACATTAACCAAATATTGTATTTTGAAATACAAAATATCCTTTCTCATATCTACTCTTTGGTGAAACAGTTGACATGCATATCAAAGGATTAATTGCCAAGGGTGCCTCGACTTCTTAAAACCCAAGAAAATCAACACTTTTAATTTCCCTAAACAAAAACAGACAGAAAAATACTGACTGAAATTATTATACTGTGTTTAACTATGCTAGAGTGATCTTACTAAGTGTTACAGATATGCAATTCTTAAAGTTTGCTTATGAAAATAGCAGAATTGACCTACATTTTAAGCTCTTGGTAGGCTACAGTAAATTCCACACTCACAACAGAAGCTGTAATGTGAGATGGCTGTTTTCGAGGTACATTGTATCACTGACAAACATTTACAGTTCTAGCCACTATTTTTATGACCTGTGTCACTCTATGTATATATTTTTATGTTGGTATTAAATCCCTTTACCAGTGTTCTTTTAAATCATTGGTTTGCACCTAACGAAAGGGTTACATTGGTTCATAGTAAAGAAATTAACTAAGTGGAAAGTATTCAAATATTGGTGTACAGTTTACTGTCCCTAATATTGGAGGTTTTCTGGGCATTGTTCAGGATAGTTAAAGATTGTTTTGACCTATTAAGTAAGTTAGCTCAGTTTGATCTGTTGTAATGGATTATAGAGACTTAGGCTGGAAGTCACTATTTTGGCTCAAACCGAAGGTACTGCATGTCTAATGATATGGCTATGAGCCAACATGGAAACAGATGAAGTACTGTAGACACCTGGACTCTGAGTATGACGCTTTCAGAATACTGATTGGAGCTAGTGGGATAGGCTTCTGTGGAATAAGGATGTTAATTTAGAGTCTTATAAGAATGTTGTCTGAGAGTCTATGTTTAGACCTTAGCAGGGGAAGAAAAAACATCAGCCTGGCTGCTGCTGTGTCAGTGTCCCTGACCAAATGGGACCAGCTATTAAGGTTAGACAAGGGTTCATTCTAGAATTGGGTTGGGCTCACTGAGGCTTTTAGACTTAGCAATCTACAGTACGAGTCTGCATGAGCAGATATAGTGAATGCTGTACCTAGATTCATCACAGGGTTGTGGACCCAAGGGCTGCATGGTAGGCTGATTGCCAGGTCCAGTGGTAAAGAATTGCATAGCCAAGCAAGAATGGATCGCCCTAGGAAGAGTTAGGACCTGGAGCAGTGAAGAGCTGACTGGCAGGGTAGCAGTGCAGCTTCTTGCCTTAGACGAGGATAACAGAGATGAGATGCACAAAATACAGTTGGGTGGGAGGCTTGAGACAGTTAGAAGAAGTCTGGGTGCTCGGTGTGAGAGAGAGTTCTAACGCAAGAATGAGTAACGAGTTGAAAGTGGAGAGTGAAGGAATGAAATTAATGTATACACAGAGGGAAAAGAAGTTGGAGTTTAATGGAGAAAAAGTGTTTTTAAAGTTAACTGCGTGGATGTCAGATTTAAAAACATCTCTGACTAGTGAATTGGGTTAGTATGAACTATAAGAAGAATAAGGTAAGACGGGATTAAGACTCCTCTCCAGAAGGAGGTGGGGGGGAACTGTGAGATCCTGATCCAGGAGAAAAAAACTATGTGACCGTTTGAGCGACTTACTGTACTTGAGGTGAGGCAGGAACAGGTGGAAATCTTAACAAAAAAAAAACCCAACGTGAAACGTGAAATGTATAACTTTAAACATTCTAAATGAAAACGATCTTATGGGTTAGTCGTCTCCATTGCAAACGTGCGTTACGTCTTGGACCCATTTAGTCTGTCATGTCTTCGCATGACAGCGAAAGAAGTTCAGTGACTTTGTAAAGCATACCCAATCGGGAATACCGTGCACGCAAGATACAATGCATTCTGCGTTTCATTATGGTTTTGAAAAATGCCTGCCAGCCAAATTCCAAAACTAGCACTTTCATGTCGTAAACATACAGTATAGTTGCTTATACCTAGTGAATCTTTAAAGAAAAACTCTGGAAATTGTGTAAAATGTCCTTTTAAAAAGTATGGAAATTTGGGCGCTGCTCACCTGTCACTTTGGTCGTCCCTGGACTGATCACTCTCTGCATCCTTTTTCTTTTTCCTGCTGCGATCGATTTTGAACAACTTCTTGAAAGACCTTCCTTTCTTCGCCTCTTTATCCTCCACCTCTTGTAAATTCACCTCGCTCTTGGAAAACAAGTTTTTCAAACTCTTTCTAGGGCTGCTTCTGCTCGCCATGGTTTCTGCGGCAAATAGCTTCCCTCGATTAATGAGACTAATGAGAAGAACAAACTGTCATCAAACCTGTCAAAATAAGCGGTGCGAATCAACGTTTCACGAGTAGGAGCGTAAAGGAATCAAATGAAAAACTTTCTATTGAAATAAGACATTGATTCGCTGCATTCCAAATCGCTGATAAAGAACATTTAACACTCTTTTTTTGCAGTTTAGACTTTCGTAGTTATAGAAGAACGCAGAATATCGCCCCCGCAGTTTGATTCCCAGGGTAATGAAATCTGTTATTATCACCGAGTCTCTGGCTCCTAAGTCAACCTGTGAGCGCGGGCATAACATTAAATAACCACGCCTACCCCAGCTGTGTGCTGCGATGACCCACACACGGACTTACATACAGTAGGCGGACTTTAAAATTTTTAGTTCAGGTAAAGCACCTGTATGTTTTATACTTAGAACAGAGGATAACATTCCTTTACTGGAGATTTAACTTAATACAAAATACAAATAAACTCATTAACCATCTATTCCATTGTTTGTATGCTATGAGTACAAATACAGTACGTAGTACTGGTATTTCACCTTCTGGTTCCCCTCAACTCCGCACAAAGTTGGTTTTATTTTTTCCTGTAAGAAATACACACACCTGTCGCAAAGTCATCAACAAAGTAATCTCTAATAGTTTGAGTTACCTGTACATACTGTGTGTAAACTAATCATTAACCTTAACCATATTCAGGAATTGTAATCTCTTTAAACGGGAACTGCTTAATGACACATCACCAGCATGTCAGTGTCTGTTTCACCTTTTCCAGCACTGGGTTTCCAATTCGACATGTCAGCTGATCAGGAAAGTCACAAAGAACAAAAATACAACCTCAGTTTCATGCTCACTGCAAATGCAAAATATCTGGACTGGCCAACTACAGTTTTTGCGAACTTAAGCAGCCTACTGTTTTCCTCAAAATTAATTAAAAGAAGGGGGGTATACTATTGACATTTTTGTAATCAGGCTGGCTTTCCGCTACAATATTGTTTTAATCTCTCTGAATCAACACCTGCTACTCCTCAAGACCTGTCCTCTTTGCAGATAGAATCTGAAGTTAGAGAAAGTATAATACATTTGGGCTCCTAGTTCTGGACCTGGAGACCCACTCATCAGCTCACTTTCATTCCAGTCTAGTTTAACGTATTTGAACTAATCAATAAGAAACTTTTTTTAAGTTTTGTTTTCTACTACAAAATTTGAAACTTTATGTTACTCATCAAATGCAATAGTTAAAAATGCAGCAGCTAAAAGGCAAATGATTTCTTGGTGAAATGACCCACCTTCGGTGTCCTCATGAGATCTTCATTAGGTCATGGTTGACGTGCAGTGGGTGGAAACAGTGCATTGATAATCCCTTTTGACCTTTTTGTCTGACTTAGAAAGGCGGTAGAATTGCAGGCTGCAGCTCACCAGTACAACACAAACGTCCTCCTCTTTTTTAAATGCTAAGATAAAAGGCTCTTCACAAACATTTATGAAAAAATTGATTATGTTTATTAATTAGAAATTATGTCTCATTTCCATGTTAATAAATCTGGTTTTAATTTTCACTTGGGTCCTCAGAAGTTTGAGTAAATGTTGAGTTTGTAGTGCCTCATTGGTTTGCCTTTGCCTACACCTTGGAAGTACTTCAATGAACCCCCTCTCACCTTGTATTTTGTGTTTTCTTCTGTCCAAAACAAAAGTCACCATGAAATAACTATAACATTTAATTTATGTTTGTGTCACATATATCATTTATATTTGTGTCAGTACTGAAATGTAAAATCAATACTAACAATACTAGTGCAAGGAACACATAAAGAAAACAACGTTTCGGCCGTGGAGCCTTCTTCAGGTCCACCTGAACAAGAACACCCGAAGAAGGCTCCATGGACGAAACGTTGTGTTCTCTTTCTTCTTTTTTTCAGCATGGAATAAACCTATTACTTGTTCCTTTGCAGCCTACGCATGCTGAAATACTAGCACAAGATATAAGATGAGTTTTAAACTGGATTTTGTCTTATCTAATATTCACATTTAATTCCGGTGTTTGTGGTAATTTAATAATGTATAGCATGTGTCTATTTAAATTCAGGTTAATCAGCAGGTTAATCATATTGCTCTCAGTCAATCATTCCAGGTAAGGGTAGAGATGTAGTGATCCCAGAAGATCAGGGTGCAGGGGGGGTATAAACACTCTGGATGAGATGCCAGTTAATCGCAGTTAATTACACACACAGTGATCATTAACAGAATCCCATTAACTTAAACGGTATGTTTTGTAAAGTTAGGAGGAAACCAGGGCACCCAGAAAAAGCCCATGCAAATCCAGGAGGATGTGCAAACCACACACAGAAGACACCCGAGTCCAGAACTGAAGCCAGGAGCTGTGAGTCAGCAGTGCTAAAGTCCATGCAGGCCACTTCCTTACATACTGTACAGTACATAGCAGCTTATTTTACATCTGAAGTATTGTCTGACAATTTAGTGACAGTGCACCACATACAGTGGGATGTATATAAATTGAATGTGTAATGTAATGTGCAAATAGAAACCAGAAGTACAGTGCCAGCAGGGTACTTCTTTCTTGAATTCAAGAATAAACAAATTATCCTTGTTTTCATAAGCTACATATTTCCTTTTGTGTTTCACTGAATGTTGGCTCAGTGTGTATTTTTTCACACATCAATCTGTGAGAGGCACCGTGCAAAAGCTGAGCTTGTCACTGTCAAGCACACTGCTGTGAGGTGCAAAATGTAAGACAAACCCGAATGGGCGAGGAAGCAGCTCCTGACATACCACAGGGAACAAGTCTTGCAAACGGAGCTCAGTGCTTCCACTGAAACTGCTTGTTGCGGCTATTCGGCAAGAATGCAGCTCCCCTGCATTACCTGCCGACATGAACCAAGATGACTCAAGAAGCCTTTCCCCCACTGGGCTGCTCTTTCAGGTCTCCTCCGACATGAAAGTGGGCTATTGTTCTCGCTGCAAAAGAAGACCTGCTGGAATACTTGCTGTAATCCACTCTTGCCTGTGCCCGAGGCTTGTCGTGAAAGGGGCTGGAATTGTCACAAGTTGCATTGTTTTGCTCTATAAATTAGCCGCAATGTAATTTCAATGCAACTAAGCTGATTTCATCACAGGAGAAACAGGAGAGACTGAGGACCTTTTCTGATGGAATAATCTGTCAATAATGTAAAAAGTCAATATACCGTAGGATTTTAGAAACAAGTTAGAAATTTGTTCTTTATAGATGGGTTGAGGCTGTGATACAGTACCTATGTATTGCATTTTATTCTAGTTATCTCTTATAATTATTCTCAAGAAATAAAGAATTAATTAACTTACATTACTAATGCAAAAATTGACAGCAGGCTCACATTATTTTTACCCTATTTTTACATTATTATTTCCATGTGTGAACACCCACTCATTGTATTTGTTATGTTTTATGTTTGTTGTATTTTGTGAAACAAAATAAAACAATTTCTTAAAAAGATATTGAAACAAATGCAAAGGACACTAAAACAACATGTTCCTTTATCCAGTTAATGAAGGATGGCATCCTACGAAGACTGTGGTAGCAGCTGTTCCTTTTTCTTTGAGATTGTCGGTGGTGGAGACTTGCATGGGGTCTGGTCTTTTAAATGAGAAGCCGTTGGTTCACATCCCTGTCAAGGATCTGCTGCTGAGCCAGGATCTTCACCCAAATTGCTCCTGTAGAATATGCAACTGTACAAATAAGTACAAATGGAAATTACTTAAAGATAAAAGTGTCAGTCAAAATGATCTAATATTATTCTAATAAAGAGAAGTTGTTAATGAAATTAACGGAAGTTGTCCCGAACTTGTTAATTGAAGTCCAGAAAGAATAACAACACAAGGCTATCTCACACAACTGTTCCTAATCACCATCATTTTGAAACTACAGTAAATACATATACTGAACACAAACATCTCCCTCTTCATTTATCTCAAGCATCCCTCCTTCGCCCCATCCCAATCTTAGAGTTGCCCCTTGGTTCAGTTCACTCTGAATGGGGTTTGAACCTCCTCATCACATGGCCAGGAGGCTACCCTTTAACCAAGTCGGTTAAACCAAACCTATCTCTTGAAGTATTCTAGACATTCATAAAGGAAGTGATCCCCCCTGGAGTTAAGAAGCTAAACCTCCAGAGGGCATTTCATTCTGAAGAATATGCTAGTTGAGAGGGCTTACCTTCCTGGTAGTGCACACTAATGCCATCTAGTGGAGGTGGTGGTTAATTGTGTAACCCTATGAGCTTCTATTTGCATTTGCAAAGGTAAACATACCGTATTATGCAGCTAACTTGTATTATATAAGGAATAATCTCCAGAACATGATTTGGTTATCCCACCTCTGGGTTAATTATCGGTTGAGCATCTCTTGGATTAACCTAACAGTAAATGAAAAAATAAATATGCATACACAAAAATATTGTGTGTCAAAATTATTTTTTGAGTCCAAGGCAACATTTGCCCACTATTGTGTTCTTTGTGTAATTTGTTTGTGCATTGTGTGTATCATCCTGCATTGGTTTGTTGCAGTTTAACCTTGTGCCAAGATGGCCAACTTTGTACCTTCATCAGTCAAAATAATATATTCTAAATATTTAATTTAGTTTCTTATTCACATTAAAACAAAAGTTGACAAACCTGCGTCTTTCTTTACTTTCACATTTTTCCATTTTGTTAGAAATTGTATTGAATAGGAATTACTTAATGATCCAATGCCAAGGAAGAAACAAAACATGTAACAAAACCTTAATAATCCAATTAACTCATTAATGTTAATTTTGACGAATATCAGGGAATCTGTGTACTCCAAATGGCAATGATGGGTTGGTTTTTTAAAGTAATTCAAGGCCTCAGATCCTGAGTGAAACACTGTTGTTGTACCCTTGAGCAAGTTCTAAGGCGGTTTGCACAAAAGGCTAAGTAATATGCTGATTTACTTTGCCCTTTAAATATATTAATGCTTGCATTTAAAAGTTAAAATGAAAGTCAGTTTTGTTCCCCCTCTGTCCGTGATACTGTATGTTCCTATTTTTTTGTATTTTATGATTTGACCTTTTCGAAACTAAATGCAATGAATTTCTTCAGCTCCACTTACTTAAATGAGTCCGCTGATGTACAGTAACATGTTGTTTTACAACAGATAGAACGATGGACTGCATTCTAAGCGCTGGTTGAGAAATCTGTCCAGTAGATGGAGCCAGCAGATCA